GGGGAGGGAATTTTTAATTTTAAGGTTTTATTTTCTTTAGACTTTTTCTCCAAATCTTTCCTTCTAGTACATTTCCCCATAAAATTAGAAAAGCTCTTTTATATACATCTCTGCACACTGTGGTCAAAGAAAGCTCTAACATATCTGATAAAAGCTATGGATCTTATCCTCAGAAAAGCCACCAATGTACACATATTTACAACTTAGAGGATTCAGAGACCCTTGGATCCCACTCATGTACATGAACTTGTATTTGTCAATTATGTCCTATCATGGCCCACACAGACAATATTTGACACACTGAGATAAATGTCTTCAAACCTATGTTCTTTAATTTGACTATTATCTAACTTTATCCAGACTTAGAGTTATCTCTTATTGGATTCATTGATTCTTACTACTACTCTTAGTAACAGTTTCAGGTGCTACCTAAAAGGGCATTCTCATCTAAAGTCTCCGCTCAGACTCTGAGTCTCTGGTCAGATACTCTAATAGCTTCCATTAAGACTCATAATAAAATGTAAATTCCTGACTATAACATTTAAACTAATCCCTTCATTTCCCCTATCATGACATTCATTTTTTCTAGTCACATATGCTTTGAAGAGTCTTGATCCCATAGGCCTTGAAGTCACATCTTTTAAGCACCACACCTTTGGGCACACACAGCTCCTTAGGAATTCTTCCCTAGGCCTGAGAGGCCTTATATAATGCACAAACATGCATGATCCCTGGCCCTGTTTCTTAAGGGTTACCTACATTATATTCCATTTAACAGCAAAAACCATATTGTGCCTTAAGATCTTCAATGTACTTTACACATTTTTCACTTATAAATTTTTAGATAAATGTAAAATGGACTTGATTTCATCAGTTTATAGATTTGAAAATTAAACATACTTAAAAACTACATCTTGTACATCTGTAAGGGTGGCACCAATACTCTTCAGCAAAAGATTTAAAGAATGAATTGCAATCAATCCTTCATGATGTTCTGAATCTTTAGCTGCTTCTTTACCCGAACTCAGTGAAACGCTTAAATGCAACTAATGAGATAAAGAGATAAACATGTAAATCAGTATCTTCATAATGAAAATATTAACTTTTAATGTTCAATTTTATTTTAAATTCACTACACCATAAATAAAATTTCAAAGTTATCAGGACTATGCCAAAATTAATAAGTAAAAAGTTAAAAAAGATTTAGAAGCTAATATAGCCCTTTTTAAAATTTAAATTCAGCAATGTGAGATGATATGATATTTAATTCAATCTAATTCTTTTGGGAAATCTAGGAAAATATTAATTTTTATACATTTTTAAATGATAATAATCTAGAAGTTAAAGTTGTTGAAAATAAGTATCTCCACAAGTGAATGTTTCAACTATTAGAACTAAGCTAGCAGGATGAAGCCAGTTAAAAAGTATTTTTGTGCTATGTGCATATACATCCTGTATGCATAGTTGTACAATAACTTTCTTCAAGTATTCTGTAAGCAACTCATAGAAACTTTGAGTAAAGAACTTACACTTAGTTCCATTCAATGTTCAAATAATAAATCAAGATTATTTTATAAATTAAAACTTATACACTATAGTTAATACTGTATTGCATATTTGAAAGTTGCTAAGAAAATAAATCTTAAAAGTTCTCATCACACAATAAATAAATAAATTACAATACTATAGAGTGACAGACGGTAACATATTGTGATGATCATTTCACAGTGTATACAAATATCAAATCATTACACTGTACACCTGAAATGAATTTAATGTTATGTGTCAATTAAAAGAAAAACTTATACACACATCATATACAAAATTTAGAAAACTGTTATTAAACACCTTAACACTAAGGTAATATAATGTCAGGTCAAGACATAAACATATAAACACATGCTGTGGGTGGTGCCACTATTGTTTCCACATGATAAAAATTTAAAAGAATTATTGCTTTGTTATTTATTTATATTTGCAATTGTGAAGCTACAGAATTCATAAACTATCAAAGAACATACTTTTAATACTATGTCTACCCAACAGACCCAGTAAATTTGCTCTTACCTAGATTATAATGGATAATAAAAATAACTTATTTTTCCCCTACCTTGATAGGAGATATATGAAAGTACTCATAGAGGCTGACTTGTGATGAGTCTACTAATGACTCTCTTTTATATTCTTCTTGGAAAACTTCTATATCTTTTTGAAAAAGTTCAACCTATAAAGGAACATAAAATATTAAAAACTTAAGGGACCTATTTTCATGAAGTATTTAAGCCAATAGCTCACACACTGCAGAACACTCCCCTATAATATCCAGATTCAACATTATTCATAATTAGAAAGTTACTGCCTCAGTAGAGAAACTAATATTTTTATTGCTCACAAAGTTCTGTCTGTTACTCACAAACTGATAAGCATTTCTCCTATGTTTCCATCCAATCCATGAAAAGACGCTAAGCTTTTCCTCATGTGACTAGATTTTATTCTAAAAGGTCACTAATCCAATCCATCAACACTCTTAGAACTATTTACTTTTTAAAATACATTATCCACTTGTAGCTTTTTGCTTAATGTCTTACTGATATCTACAGAGTCCATTAATATAATCAAAAAGGGGGAAGGCATTGAAAATAATTTTGCACAGATTAATTAGTTTCATTCTTGATAATCAACACTACTTCTCTTCCAAACACAAACCTAAGTTACTTCTGTGTTGAGAAATGGCCCAACGTTCACATTTTAACCTATTAAGAAAAACATCAAAATGACTGACTTCTAGGATAACAATATAAGGAACTCTTTAGAACAGTTCCCCAGCGAAACTGGTGAAATTTATTTAAAAAAGCAAAAACCCAAACATTTAAGGCTTTGATGAATGGTCCTAAGGGTATACACAAATGAAACGTCTATTCAAGAAAATCTACAAAAATTTGGTTAGAAAAGTGAGTCTGTGGTCTCAATTTCCCCACCCAGCTCAATAAGCTAGAATTCCACTCTAGACTGGTACACCCAAGAACCCAGAGCTATCTCTCTCCCCAGACTCCAACTGGAGGGCTTTCTTCCAGGGAGGCACAGGATGTCAGCATTTCTCATCCTGCCCCCAGCTACCAGCTGCTAAATAATGGGGGAGGGAAGAGCTTCCTTCTTCTGCCCAGCCTCCATTCATGGAGCAAAGGTTCTACTTTGGTGTGACACCAATACTGGAATTCTGCTCACCCTTGCTCCACCCCAAGCTCTGGTTCAGAAGTTTTACCTGGAGAGAAATACAATTTAAAGCAGACAGTTCCTAATCTCTCCTCAAAGAAACTGACTTCATTTACAATAGTGTAAAGAAATTCAAACCTAAGAAGTGCTCTAGAATAGCGATTTTCAATCTTTTTCATCTCCTGGCACACATAAACTAATTACTAAAATTCTGCGGCACACCAAAAAATATATTTTTTGCCCATCTGACAAAAAATAGGTATAATTTTGATTCATTTATACTGGAGCACTATTGTTGTATTGGCTGTTGTCATTTTTTATTTGAAAATCTAAGGGAAAAGAGGTCAGTGCCCCTGACTAAACAGTCAGGTATTGTATGTTTTAAAAATTCTTATAGCTATTGTAAATTGTGCTGCTATGAACACGGGGGTGCATATGTTCTTTCTGATCGGTGTTTGGGTTTCTTAGGATATATTCCTAGAAGTGGGATCACTGGGTCAAACGGCAGTTCCATATTTAACTTCTTGATGAAGCTCCATACTGCTTTCCATAGTGGCTGCCCCAGTCTGCATTCCCACGAGCAGTGTGCTAGAGTGCCCTTTCTCCACATCCTTGGCAGTACTTGTCGTTTGTTGACGGCAGTCATTCTGACAGGTGTGAAGCGATACCTCATTGTGGTTTTAATTTGCATCTCTCTGATGATTAGTGACTTTGAACATTTTTTCATGTCTCTTGGCCATCTGTATGTCTACTTAGATCTTTTGCCCATTTTTTAATTGGATTGCTTGTCTTCCCTTTGTCAAGGTGTATAGCCCTAAGAGCCCATCAGTAGATGGGTGGATAAAAAAGCTGTGGGACATTCACACCATGGACTATGATGCAGCTATAAAAAAGAAGGATCTATTACTCTCTGGCACAGCATGGATGGAAATGGAGAGTATTATGCTAAGCGAAATAAGCCAGTCAGAGAAAGACAAGTCCCACATGATCTCACTCATATGTGGAATCTAATGAACAAAACAAACTGATGAACAAAATAGATCCAGAGACACAGAAGCATGGAACAGACTGAGGGATCTCAGTGGGAAGGCGGGGAGGGTGGGGAGAGATTAATCAAAGAACCTAAATGCATGTATGCATAACCCATGGACACAGAGAGCAGTGTGGGGAAGGCCTGAGGGGGAACGAATGCAGGGTGGACGGGATTAATGGGAGGAAGGAGGGGGCATCTGCAACACTTTCAACAGTAAAGATAAATTAAAAAAAAAAATTCTTGCAGCACACCGGTTGAAACTCGCTGTTCTAAATTATTAATCTAAACAAAAGTAACCCAGAAAAGTAAAACACGGAAAACAGTGCTGTGAACATGACTGATTATCCTCTGCCTCCGCCTGACTTAAAAGCTTTCTCCTACTTGCTCTCAGTTTAAAAAGAACACTTTAATTCGTCTTGCTCCTATATAGTCTTGCTTAAGACTATTCTTAACTTGTCTTCTATAATCTGAAAATGTGATTTCTACCAATGCACTCACCACAGCAGCATAATAAACATTATATTTTAAAAGTGAAACAAAACCATTTTAACACTTGTAAGAATTTATAAGAATATAATTTCTCTCAGTCCTCTTTCCCTAACCCTGCCCATCAATGCTCTTACTGTTAAATCTTACCTCTGTTTTTTCAGTTACTTCAGCTTCTGTCATAAGTTCTGCTAAAGCATAGACAAACCCAAGATCTAACCTGAGATCCATTTCTTGGATCAACACTTTGAAGTACCTATATTACAAAGTAGAAAACATTAAAGAGACCATCAATTTACTGTATTAAGAAAATTAGATGAGAAAAAAAGTATTAAATATTAGAATGTTAAAACTTAGGACTTTCTAGAGGAATGTCATGGAAACAGTGTTCATAATACCAACAAACTCAAGTATGAAAATGCCTATAGAGAAGAAATCGATAAGTAAACTGTGGTATACAGTCACATAACATTATTTATGTTTATGAATAAACTCTAGCAACATACCACTAAATGAATACATTTTAGTAAAAAGTTTAATAAAAAAAAAGCAAGTCCCAGAAGTATATGTACAGCTTCAAAAATTATTTTTTTAATGGGGAGGGGTAAAAAGGAAAACTAAGAAGCTTAATGTTTACATACTCATAATACAATAAGACTATAATTTAAAAAGCAAGGGAACAGTCCTGGCTGGTGTGGCTCAGTTGGTTGGAGGGTTGTCCTGTGCACCGAAAGGTGGCAGGTTCGATTCTTGGTCAGGTCACATACCCAGGTTGTGTGTTCAATCCCTGGTTGGAGCATGAGCCCCAACAGATGTTTCTCTCTCTCTCCCTTCCTCTCTCTCTAATAAAAATAAAAAATAAAAAAAATCAATGATATAGCATACACTCGGGTGAGGATCTAAAGAAAAAAAAAAGCAAGGGAATAAAGACAGTTTGTCTTGGTGATAGGGTAGAGAATAAGACTGGATGATGACTGAATTTGAAAATACTGTTTTCTTTCTTGTTTCTAACAATATGCAATAATCATAGAGAACTTAAGAGAGAAAACAAATAATCAAAAAAGAAAATAATAAAATGCCCATAATTTAGAAATGACTGTTGTTAATACCTAGGCGTATTTCATTCAGAGCCTTCAGATTCTCCACAATTATAAAATAATTAATAGACTTTTTCGATGACCTTTATAATTTACTATTTTACACTTAAATCTTTGACTCACTTGAAATTTACTTTTTTAAAAGAGTACAAATAACTCACATATTTAAATCAAAACATTAAATAAACACACAAGAAATGTATTAATACACTTACTTAATACGTGATATCTGGGAATGCCCTGCAGATCTCATGACAATACTGACATCTGTAAAAGGCTTTGGTGCTGTAAAGGTTAATAAATATGATTAATGGCCATGATCCTTTAAACAAAAGAAAAGAATCATTTTCTTGCAATGTAATGCACATCACAATGGCCAACTAAATTATTTATTAAATTGTGAGTACCAATTAAAATTACTAATACTTGCATGATCCATTACGATCTTAATGTCACACTCCAGGATTGTTTTTGTAAATTATTTATATTTACTCTAAGGATTACTAATCCTTTAAATTAGCCAGTTTAAACTCGAAGCAAGTATTAGAATCAACAGGGAAACTTTGTGAAAACACAGATTTCAGGATCTTGCCCTAGACTTCTAGGTGGAAGGCCTTGGGCATATACACTGGTCAAAAAGCTTCCAAGTAGCTCTGGCCTGTGTTGCTCAATGGTTAGAGCGTTGGCCTGCTCACCTAAGGGTTGTGGGTTTGGTTACTGGTAAAGGGCACACTGGTCAAGGGCATGCAACTCAACTGCAGGTTCATTTCCCGGCCCCATTCAGGACATGTGCGGGAGGCAACCAATCAATGTGTCTCTCCCACATTGATGTTTCTCTCTCTCTCTCCCCCCTCCCCATCCCTTCCATTCTCTCTAAAAATCAACGGAAGGAAAAAAAAAAGCTTCCATGCAGATTATGAATACTCCCTTAGAGTCAGTGATATAGAGGTGGGTGTGGAAACAAAAGGAGAGGAAAGGGAAGCAGGATAGTGGGAAGTTAAGAGAAAGTGAGGGGAAGAGGAGGGTGGAAGAAAGGACTTATCAGTCTTTCTAATCTGCAGAGGACGGGATAGTTTCCGTGGTTAGAAAACAGTCTGAATTTGAACTTCCTCACAATTTAGTCAAAGGTTCCAGTGGCTTTTAAATCAGAGGTTTAAAATTTGTAATTTTTTAAAATTAACATTTCTAAAAATGTAAATATATATTTCTAATTAATCTTTTCTTCAGCATTCAATCAGAATTTTGTTGAAGTTAGCTGAGTAAAATGGTTTAATTTCATATTTTTATAGTAAAACAAACCAAACAGCTAATACAACCATTTTTATAGCAATCTAAAGATATAAACAAACCTGAATCCATGGTGACTGACTTGGGAGGTTTAACAGGATAAAATACAAATGGAAATACAGCACCATGTATCTGGTTTTGGATCTAAAACAAGAACAAAAACTGGTCAGTATACTCATATGTTAATTACAGAACCTGACTGGAATAACAAGATTTAAGTAGAAGGAATCAAAAAGTCTAGTCCCACAGTGAAATGGAAGTGCTAAAACAGATCATGGGAATACATTAGTTTACTGCTATGTCTGTTTAGAATATAATTTGACTATCTTTTCAGACTCACCTGTATTCTGTAAATTTGAATTCTAACTGATGATTGATGTGCAGATGTGTTATATTCCACTTTTAATGCTGGCAGATAATTCCTTCGTATAGCTATTACATGTGGTTGCAGAATTTTCATGTTAGTGCCACTAGGTGTAAAGCAAACCTGAAAAACACGCCAGCCCCCAAAACACACAGAATTTCTCTTTACTCATAATTGCTTAAAATTAGAAATTTGTACCAAAATTTTTAAAATATTAATGAAAATACTAGGTTAAATATTTGATTAGGTTTAGATTGAGATTTTTATAGCCCATATCCATACAATTCCCAAAAACATTCAGAAATTCCTTACAGCTTGGTTATATTGCTTTTTATGTAATTTTACTAAAATTTACCCAAAAAGTAATAAAAGATAAAATAATCTTAGAAATAAATAAAAAATTAAAAGTTACTGGTTTGTTTTAACCAAGGAATAGATCATTAGTATTGCAAGAGAAAGTCTGAGTCTTTACTACAGGTAATCATTCCTTTAAAATATTTTATATAAAGTATGTATGACAGAATTTATTGTTTTGTAAGGAAATACAAAAAATTTACCAGTGATTAATCTAATTACAACAGTAAAAATTAAAACTTCATATTAGTACTTAAAAACATTACCGGAATGTTAGTGTCCAACTCGATAACCTTATCTTCTGCAGGTGAAGATTCAGTATATTCTTTAAATTCTTTCTCTAACTTCTCGGTGTGCTTTACACTCATTGGCTTCCATCTTGCCTTCTTCTTAGGCTTTGTCTCCCAAACCACATCAGAACTTAAATATGAAAGCAAAAATCATGGTACTAATTTATACACATTTTCATTTTAACTGGTTTATTACATGAATTACAAAACCTTAAATAAAAATTTTGCAATGGTCTCAATTATAAGCAAGCACATTACAAGTTTAAAAACATAAATTCATTCAACCAATCCTATTAAAATCCTACGTAGGCACCACTGTGGGTAGTAGTGAACATCTCAAATGTTCTTCAGCTTCATTTTAGATGAAGAGTGATAGACAAAACATCATGAACACTGCAAATTAGCATATCTTAACATATTAGGAGATGAAATGCTTTTGAAAGAAGACAAAGTAGGAAAGGCAAGGTGGATATGGAGTATTGGGATATGCAATGTGGTGGGGTTGCAGCAGTGAAATGGAGCGGTCAACAGGGGTGTCACAGAAGTGAGATTTCAGTAACTTGAAAGGAGATCAGGGAGGTTATCCAGAAGACAAAGGGAAAGGTTTCAGGTAGAAGAGCCAGTCAGAGCAAGGGCTCCAAAGCAGAGCCCACGTGGAGTGTAGGAAGAGGGGCAAGGAGGCTGCACGCCTGGGACACGTTAAGAGTAGAAGGTGAGGTAGATGGCGAGAGGCCCATAATGGGAAAGCCTTGTAGGATACTGTCAAGGCTCTGAGTTTTATTCTGAGATGAAGAACCACTGAAAGGTTATGAGACGATCAGCGACACGATCTGACTTAAGCTTTGTTAGGAATAGAGCTGGGATGGGGGGGAGAGAGGCGGGAATAATGGCTAGAAGCAGAGAAACCTGTTAGGCATTTAAGGTAGTAAGCGGGGAGAGAATGGTGATGGCTCTGCCTTAGGAGGTAGTGAAAAGTCAGATCCTACGTGTCTTGAAGGTAGAGCCAGCACAGAACTTCTAGATGGATGAGATGTGGGGTGTGAGATAAAGACATGAATGAAGATGATTCCAAAGTCTTTGGCCTGAGCAGCTAGGATGTATTTGTCATTAACTTCAATGGGGAGGCAGGTCTTGGCAGAAGATCAGGAATTGGGTTTTAAACATATAAAGTATAAGAAGTCTCTTAGGTATCTGAGTAGAAATTTTGTGTAGGCAATTGGATATACAAGCCTGGAGTTCGGGGGGTGGAAATTTGGCTGAAGGTGTATTTCTAGAAAATGCTGGCAAATATGTGATATTTGAAATCATAAAACTGAAACAGAGAAGAGGAGAGGACTAAGGTCTGAGAGCCTTGGGACACCTAATATTAAGCAGTGGAGAAGACAAGGAACCAACAAATGCGACCCAGAATGTGGGCATGGAAAGAAAAATCAAGATGGTGAGGAATCGTGGAGGTCAAGTCAAAGAAGGGATCTGTGTTAAATGTTCTGAACTTAAGCAACAGGGGTGCTGGTAATTGCGCACTGGACCTGGCAACACACAGGTCTCTAGGGTGATCTTGACAACACCAGTTTCATGGTATATTGAGAGTGGTTTAAAAAAAAATGGGTAAAAAAGAATGGAACACAGTGAATATATTTAACTCCTTTGTGATGGACAACACTTTTGGGCAGTTTGGCTATAAAGGGAAGCAACAAAACAGACAGTAGATAGCAGGGAAAGTAGGCCCAAAAGAATTTCTTTTTTAAGTTGAGAGAAATAACAATTCAAAAGAGAGTCAGAAATTGTTGATATAGGGGAAAGAA